TATATCATTTTATGATATTTGATGTATCGAAGTGTCATAAATGTCACATTCTAAATATCATCAAACTATTCACTCCAATGGATGATACTGATGATATATGGATAATATTATCATGGACATACCCTCTGGTAATTTGTTACATAGCCATGGTATAGATGGCCCTAATCGAAATAGATGGTTTACCTGGGTTTACCTATTAATAGCATGGTGATTTTCCATGGCTATTGGATAATGATTATTACCTCAATCCCCGGTTGCCGGCTATCCAGGTTGGACATGAGCAGACGCGTCCTCCGTTCCACTTTTGCCTCAGTCCTCACCAAGAAGGTGGACCAGATGGCATGTTCAAGACATGTTGATATCTAAAACGCAATCTTAAGATACATTAAGAAACATTTTATACATTAAGATACATCAAGAACCATTAAGATACATTAAGATACATTGATAGACATTAAGATACATAAAGATACATTAAGATATATTAAGTTGAAGAACACATATGACTTAACATGACTTAAGATGATTTAAGAGCTTAGCATACACGATGACATTCTATGACAGTATATTAGTGTACGCGCACCTTAGATGAGATGATATAACATGGAGGCAGTGAAACAACCTTCAACACAGAGATGCAACGTCAACCAAGAGGGGATGCATGATATGATTGAACGAGGTTTGCACTTGATGAACACATGGGACCAGGGATATCCTGATGATATCTGGACATACATCCTTATGGGAAATCAATGGAAATCACCCCAAGATCGGAATTTGAGTATTCAGAATTTGCTGCTGTCTTGACTGTGACCACTGTGACCACTGTGACCACTGTGACCACTGTGACCGTAATGCAGTTTTGGGGTCCTGTTGCACTGCGGTGAACCTGGTGAAGCTCCTTGATGCTTCGAGTGTCGGCGGCGTCCCAAGGTGGGTACCTTTGAATGCGAGCGCTCCTCACCCTTTGATCCTCATCTCTTGAACAAGCTGGAGAAGGAGCAGTGTGGGACATCTGTGGTTTCCGTTTAGTCATAGGAGGGGCCCCCCAGTCATCATCCATAGATGGGGATTTTCCATTGTAAGCCATCCAGTTATTGGGGTACCATTGATGGACACCATCATTAATGGTTGTCGGATGTGGTCAGTTTTTTCAGCAGTTTTTTTAGGGCATCAAAAACCTCCAGAGTGATGAATGTACCCTCTGGTTATGTCAAAATAGCTATTGAAAATGGCCCATTTATAGTTGATTTACCTAGTAAACATTCTAATTTTCCACAGTTATGTAAACGTTTACCAGAGGGAATCTTCCATATGCTTGAGTTTACTGTATACAGAATTATATACGGACAGTTCTCCGCGAAAGATATGACCAAGCCTCGTGGCAAAATTGCGACAACGTTTTTTCGAAAGCCCCAAGGCTTACCTTAAGGCAAATCGAAGGATTCGAATACTTCGAATCCCATAAAGTATCAGTTGGTACCCTCTGGTAAACTAACATAACTATGGAAAATCACCATTTTTAATGGGTAAATCCACTTTAACTCACCCATTTTCAATAGCTATGTTAGTTTATCAGTTGGTAGATGTTGGTCACCATTTTCTCCCCATATTTTCTATATATATATATATATGTTCCATGATATTTTTCCATCATTTTCCATCATTTTTTCACCATTGTCCAAAGCATTACCCTCCGGTTATGTCAAAATAGCTATTGAAAATGGCCATAGAAATAGTGAGTTTTCCCATTAAAATTGGTGGATCTTTCCATAGTTTTTTGTAAACGTTTACCAAAGGGTAAGGGCTGCCGTGAGGCCAAAAGCTCGGGCGCCGCGGTGGTCACGGTGCCCACATCGGTGAAGTCTCTGATGCTGCGGATGGTGGTGCCATGGTTGCAGGGGATGGTTATACCCCCAGTCATATGGGTATGGGTCAAATTTTTTGGTACCCCAATAATAAATAATAAGAACATCTACTAGATGTCAATCAATATAGGTTACCATTGCCACTGCGGGGCCTAGTTGTGCTTTTGCTGCAGGCATTTGTCTTACCAGCACCAGCAAAGCACCAACAGCACCAGCAACTGCTGCTGCTGCTGCTGCTGATGCAGCTGAGTCAGCTGCTGCTGATGCTGATGCTGATGCTGCTGGTGCTGGTGCTGGTGTGGTGCTGGTGTGGTGCTGGTGCTGGTAGCTGCTGGTAGCTGCTGGTAGCTGCTGGTAGCTGCTGGTAGCTGCTGGTAGCTGCTGGTAGCTGCTGGTAGCTGCTGGTAGCTGCTGGTAGCTGCTGGTAGCTGCTGCTGTGACTTGCTATGACTTGCTGTGACTGCTGTGACTGCTGTCGCTGCTGTCTTGCTGCTGCCACTGCTGCTGCTACTGCTGCTGCTACTGCTGCTGCTACTGCTGCTGCTACTGCCACTGCTACTGCCACTGCTACTGCTACTCCACTGCTACTGCTACTGCTCCCGCTCCTGCTGCTTGCGCTGCCACTGTTGCTTCTTCTAGCACCCTTGTCGCTTCTACGAGTCACAGTACTACTCCTGGCACATCCTGGCACATCCTGGCATTGTTTTTTTTTACAACTTTTGCCATTGCTGCTGCCATTAGCTCGAAATGATGACTGCGCGATACCGTACGTATATTTGTGAAGGTTTGGTCGAAACCCTTGTAAAACGAAGGTGACCCTTTAAAACGAAGGAAAAACAGATATTCCATTTTGGGGCAATAGAGTTTTGGAGGTAGCTCATATATATATATGGGTAAATTATAACGACCTCACTGCGACCTCACTGGGAATCATGGTTAATAAGGGGAATCATCCGCATGTGAGGCCTTATTTCAGGTTAGTGAAATATTGTAATTTACCCAGATGGATGGTAGTTGTAGCCCCAGTCATATCCCAGGATCCATCGTGCTGGTATATATGCTAACATGACTGGGGTATATTGATGGGATCCATGTTACCATATATAGCATACATGGATCCTATGGGATATGGCAAATAATAAGTTTTGACCTATCCCCACTTTGCGATATTTTGCTATATTTGTGGGGGGAAAGATGGGACAGTGTTCCAACATCCAACAAAGCTTACACTGAGCATTGGGATCTTTACCGTAGCAGTTTTTTCAATGCGCTTCGCGAGCTGTTCCTGGGGGGCCCAGTGGGCCCAGGTCAGTTCTGATGACGAGTTTCTGCCTCTGTGTGTGAGAACATTTGCTGCAAATTTGCTGGCTTTTCTTGTTTGCGAATCATGGCTTTTCTGCTATGTCATGTTACATCAATCATTTCTTGCCTGTCCTTTTTGTCGGCCATAAACAAACCAATAGACCCAGCATCCCAAACCATCAACAATCCAAAAGCATCCGAAAGCTACCCGATCCATCTCAAGTACTGGAACGGCATATTTTTCAAACATTAGTGATGCTTGCCTCAGGAGTTGATGTTTAAGCTTCAGGCCAAGGGAAAGGACTGGGATCAAGACACTTGATTTTGCTTCGGCAGAGCTGTAGCTGTAGCAAACTTGTAGCAACTATTTTTCTATATTTATCTCATTTTGTCGAGATACTTGGACAATTTGACGCATTGAATGTGTTAGTCTGGTCCAGCAATTCCAAATGGATTTGTAGTTGTGATGTTTCGATCAATTCTGATGGCTCGGGGTGAAACACACTTACATAAAGACACTACTCACTCCGTCTTGCAGAGATGGACAATTTCAGGGCAGGTCTTCTCGCTTTCGAATCCAGTGGACTTTGCTCGTGTTCCGTCCTTTCGTTTTGAACTGCCGTGTTCTTCACCGATTTACGCATGCTCCGTAGGTGCTGGGCAAATGACTTGTAATTATACATACTGCTTGTAATAAGATATGATCAGGTACAGGATATCTATGGATAGTCATCTGGTTGGTGGTTTGGCACATTTTTTATTTTTCCATTCAGTTGGGAATGTCATAATCCCAACTGACGAACTCATATTTTTCAGAGGGGTAGGTATACCACCAACCAACCAGTGATAGTAGCATTAGCAATTCTGGTTGGTGGTTTCAACCATTTTTTATTTTCCATCATATATATTCATATATGGGATAATCCCATTGACTTTCATATTTTTCAAGATGGTTTAATTCACCACCAACCAGAATTTCTATTCTACGCATTTCTGCGTTGCCGCTGAGACACGACGCGACGGCGCAAGGACAGCGACACAAGCGTGACAGAGACCCGGTCGCAAGTGAGGCAACTCTCAGAGGCCAGTTGGAGTGATGGTCATCAATCCATTTCACTGATATAGTACTAGGGATTTATACTTAATACCCATCAATTATATGTATATAATATAGCATATAGTATATATTATATAATATAAAATATAATATAATATAATATAATATAATAATATATATATATATACATATTAAATAAACATATCCTGGATCTTCAATTAGCAGTTTTTCCCTGCTCATAGCAGTGTTTTTGCTTGGATTTACTCTCATTCTGACATTTTACACTCACTTGAACTATAGAAACCATGCATTTGTGTCTTGACGGACGGGTATTGACGCTTTTTTCCTGGGTATTTACGCTTATTTCCCGGGAAAATACGTTCATAAATTTCAAATTGCACAAAGTGCAAGAATACCCAAAAAGAGGTGCAATTACGTTCATTTGGAGAAAACCCGCTTCAAAAGCAGACATCTCTTAAATGAGCATTTATTTGTGCTTTTTCGAGGATGATACATATTATGTATATGTACATATATATATACATACACATACATATGTATAACTATATATATACATACACATACATACGAATAACTATATATATATACATATGTACACATATATAACAAAAATGTACATGTACATATATATATATGTACATATTACATGAATCTTAAAAATCATGATGAGGATTCCTATTATGGCATAAATACGGGATGGATGCCCACAAACCGACCAGGCTTTGACCCTCTTCCGAAACGGAGCTGTGCTCATGGATGAGGCGTCCCACTATGGGGACCATGGCGAAGCTGTGCCCCAAAAAACCTCCATGGCATCAAAACTGTGATATTACTATCAATATCTAATATCTATTAATATCTATCATCAATCACAGATCATAGATACTACTATCATAGCTAACACTAAATCTCATCTTCAATCTAAAAAACCATCGTCTCCAGCACAGAACTCCCGTCCCAGCTGTGCACGGCCCCTCCCTTGGCCTCCCTTGGCCTGTCAGGTAGATGTAGTGCTACATCCCTTGAAGTCGGAGTTGAACTTCCCATACGGCCCTAAGGCCTGGTCCTCAGCTGTAGCTGGTTAGCTGTACAATTTTTTAAGTGTCATCCTAAGAATTCAAGTGCTATGTCGACGATTGATGGTTTCATATATTATAATATTATAATATTATAATATTATATATATTATATATATTATATATATTATAATATTATATATATATACACAATACTGCTATGGAAAATACATAAGCACAATCTCTGTATATACAATATAACTATTTGTGAATCATGAAAGATATCTCTGCGTGGCAAAGAGTTGCGTTCTGCACTTGCTCTCTCTCTCTCTCTGCGATCTCTGCGTTCGCCAGGAGCCTTTGGATGGCTCCTCTCCAAGAGCCTTCCGCTGGGCCATTCGGATGCAAGCTCATAACAACTTGTCTGACATGGATGATGCTGAAGATTGATGAAGAATCTTTTTGCCACATATTGAGGATGCTGATTATTATCTATGTCCAATTATCATGATTCTTCTCACTAATTTACATGATTCATAACTTGTCCTTGCTACCTTTTTTTGGCCCCTTCTCTATGCAAATCCGCCGCGCTCTGAGACCCTTCCAATGCATCTCTTTGAAGCTTTGTTCTTGGCACAGGTGGGCACCAGTTGATGAAGTCAGCTGGTGAAAAACGATTTCCTTACCCAACCGAGTTGGCACTACTTTGAAAGATGTTCAAAGGTGAAAACTACAGGTGGGATGTCACACTATTCATTCATTGGCTGTAGGTCCAGGTTGGTGGACTGTTGGGCCGACATCTCGCGACCAGGCGGTGCTGAAGAATCGTGGCAGATTGCCGTCCCAAGCAGAGGCGTTTTTCGGCTTGGGATGGGCGAACGGTGTTTGTGCGGTTTCAGCATGTGTAGCTTGCCCGCTTTCAATGGTTCTAATATGTGCCAATATAATCCAATTAATATGTCAAATACATATATATATATGATTATATATGTATATATATCAAATATTAATGTCAAATATGATGTTGAAAATGCTGAAGTCTTTTCACTGCGCGGTTCGTGGCAAACGTTGGGCTGCGCCATGCCAGGCGCAGTTATCCGGAGCTCAAGGCACTCGTTACAAGGCCGGGGCAGGGCGACCTATTCAACTGTCAGACCTTGACTAGTAATAAATGGGTGTGTCTGAAAATAGTGTATCCCTAAACCCAATGGTTTTGCTGATCATTATCCCTATTAAATGGCTATTTCATTGGGAATATACCCTATTTTCAGACAAACCCATATATACCATCTGGTTATTTAACATAACTATGGAAAACCACAACTTTGACTAGGTAAATCAATGGTAAATCATCTATACATGGGTCATTTTCCATAGCTATGTCAAATAGCCAGAGACCAGAGGGTAGTAATATCAGTAATATTTGGATATATTTGGGCTACTAGTATATAGTAATGGCTTACTGACTTTGGACAACATATCAGTAATCAGACAGTAGTCACGTTCTAAGTACTCCCATCCCCCATCCATAGCCCCTTTTCACATCTCCAAACATTGAATAGCCATTATTTAAGTGCCAGCAAAATTTGAATAATGTATGCTGCCTAATAGTAACCCCCCCTAAATAAAATATTTTTTTTAAAAAAATTAGGGGGGTCAGCATTCCAATAGTAAATTAAATTAGGCTAATTAACTTTTAATATTGGATACTATACCATGCCCTCTGGACAAGGTCAGAACATGACTCTTTTGGCAATACTGAAAGTAAATGGAGCTAATTGACTTTTAGTATTGGAGAAAAAATTGGATTTGGGAAAAAAGTTTCCACTATTGCCATGTTGGGTCCACTATTGGCCATGCCCTCTGGACAAGGTCTGAACATGACTCTTTTGGCAATACTAAAAGTAAATGGAGCTAATTGACTTTTAGTATTGGAGAAAAATTGGAGTTGCGGAAAAATGTTTCTACTATTGACAAGATATCACTATTGGCTAGACAACATTAGATGGAATACTGAATGGGTGGATTGATGTGGAATTATCAATCAATTAGATAATTCCATCTCTCATGAAAATTTCCATCAATCCACCATTATTTAAGTGCCATTATTTTTCAATATTTCCCATGATGATATAGATGGAATACCCATTAAATGGGGATTGATCCAGTACAGAATCATGGCGCATCCGACAAAAATCGTCCTGTCAACCGTGGCCCAGGAGATTGCGGTTGGTCTCAGCAAACGCCTTGCCCAGGGCTATGCTATGAAGGCGTCACGCTGTGTGAAATACCACCAGGGGATGACTCATGATGATTCGACCATGTTTCAGAAGTGGTACCCTCTGGTTATGTCAACAGTTTGCGAACTGGAAGCCATGGCCCAGTCGAAATAGTGGATTTACCCATTGACAAAATGCATGGTGATTTTCCAGTTCGTTATGTGGCTACGTTTACCAGAGGGTAACAGAAACAAAGGCGTAGATATTCGTAGGAAGATTCGACCAAATGCTCAGTATTTGTAGGACATAATCAATTCACATCAATGGATGAGGTTTAAATGGCTATAAATCATGAATATTCCCATCCTCATCATTCCTCATCATCATCTACAAAATTAATCTGGTTATAGGGCTCAGTGATTGATTGCCACAGGGCTCCACTAATCTTCTGAGGCGCTGCAAGCATCGCCTCACCTGGTGCTGTTGGAAGATGCTTTCTTTGAAGAGGACAGCGATTGATCCCATGATTCGCATGGCACCATGGGATACCATGGGCCGAGGATTCATCCTGGGCACCGGCTGACTATTTCACATGGGACCATGTCATAATGACATTGGGGGCTTTTCTGCAGCAGTGCAAAGTTGAGCCATGCATTGTGCAAAGGATCTCGATCTCTCTATCTCCCTCCCTTTAACCACCATTAATCACCATTAACCACCATTAACCACCATTCTTTTTCATCATTTTCTGCCTTTTCAGACTTCATTCCACCGCCCCAGAGTGAACTGGCTGAGGGGTCAGACCATGTCAGGAATCTGTAGAAATGTCACCGAGCGTACCATGCGGATGGCTGTGACATGGCAGGAACTGAAGCCATTGCTCACGGAGTGGTTAATCTTATGGCTTCGCTCGCAGGTGAGGAAACATCCTGGGTTGAGTTAATTTTTTGTGGATGACAGAAGGTTTGGACAGATTCCTCTGCTGGCATTTCATGGCTCTCATATGCTAGAATATCTACACATTATATATGTATATATGTATATATATATATGTCTATATATACACACACCATAACGTTCTACACCTTGTTAAAGAGAACGAAAGAACTGAGACAATGACACAACGGACCCACGTCGCATCTGCGATTTGTACAAAACCTGTGGAGGGAGTGATGGATTCTCGAGGCGATCGGGCGGTGAAATCGAAGGTGATTCGTGCAGTGCACATTTGGTTGGTTGATTACCCTCTGGTAAACTAACATAGCTATTGAAAATGGCCATAGAAATAGTGGATTTTCCGATTAAAAATGGTGATTTTCCATAGTTATGTTAAATTACCAGAGGGTAATAGAGGGGTTTGAAGAAACCAAATCATGATAGATGGTATACCAAAAGATGATCAAAATAATAAGGGTTGGTAAATGATGACATCACATATATCATAGGGGTTTGCTTTAACAATGGGTAAATGTTGATAAATGGTATACTAAATCATCTAAATCGGTCCCTCTGGTAATTTGTTACATAGCTATTTGGAAAGATCCACCATCTTCCATAGGTAAATCAACTATTTCTATGGGCCATGGCTTCCATAGCTATGTAAGAAATTACCAGGAGGTACTAAAGATGTGGTACAAAACTTACTGGTGCTAAACGTAGGGAATGGATGGGAATGGGGGTTGCTGGGATGATTATTGATAGTTATTTTGGATCATTCCCTCATTCCCTACGTTTAGCACAAGTAAGAAAACATGTGGTACTAGACATGTGGTACATGTGGCAATATGTGGCATTTTTATCATTTTTTTTTCTCGATTTTTTGCCACAAGAAAATGCGAAAAGTGAGGGTGCTCCTAGTTACTTCAACTGTGCCACTTTCATGCCATCGCCATTGCTCCACCGGTGTCCTGTCCAGCAGGGACTGCAAAGAGACTTCGCACGGGCACTGTGAGTAGCTACTGGGATTTAGATCGACTCAGTGCTGCGGTGAGGGATTAGCTAGTGGTAGTTGTCTAGGCTGAGATTTTTGTTTTGAGTACAGGAAAGTCATCCTTAAGACAAAACAATAGTCTGGAGGCCTGTTCGACCATATGCCCATCCCTTTTTTTGCTGTGCAATTCTCAGACACAGTAGTCAACTATAGTCAACTGTACATGATAGATTTGAGAGATTTGAGACTCACTTGAGGCTATTTGATGCGCGCATCAGATGAAGCAGCCAATGCTGAACAGGACTAGCTGCGGAGAGTTTTGCCATTCGACACACCACCCATGGTCAGTCGGGCACAGCATGACCTAGCTGGGGTACTGATGATGTGCCAGCTGTGGGGGGTTTCCTGCGCGCAGGAAGCAGCTTTTAAGAATCTTCCCTCTGTTTCCTGGCCGGAACAGATGACAGCTGGCAGACCTCTTGATTGCTTTGTAAAGGATTATGAACTAACCCACAACCCATAGGGAAACCTATCAACCCACGAGTAAAGTCACTAGTACAGTGAGATGGGAAACGGGATGTTTGATGAGAATCCAAACGGATAGAACACGAAATCCTTCAGCATGATAGATCTTGAGATCATTGGTCCACCAACCCGGCTTTTCCACTGAATAGGGGAAGAAACACAAGAACCAAAAACAGCTCCCAAGCCTATTCCAAAAGATACTGATGTAGCCAGAATGTCACAGAGACGATACAAGCAGTCATTGAGCTATAGTTCTTTGAACTGACTGAAGATTCAAAGCACTTGCTCAGTGTTAGGGTTACAGATACGTTTTGAAAGGGAACTATTGAGTAGGCCATCATGGCAAGCATCAGCCCCCACAGACCTACAACAAGTTGCAGGATGTCGAAACGCAATCCCATGGTAGCAAGAGATCATGGTCTTCCCATGTTTCCCCATTGCGGAAGGATCACATTTATTCATTTTATTCAAAATTATCTTCTCTTCACCATGGTGGTACAGTAGCAGCAGTTTGGCAATTCTGGTGCCTCCCATGTTTGCTGTGACCGGGCTTCAGGCCGACATGAAGATGCTAAATTTGGCGCATGCAACTGGGGCTTCAAATGGTCAAGGGTTCTGGACAGTACAGAATAGTGTAGGATCAATGCATTGTCCCAGTTTCCGCAGGGTATGGAGGGTAAGCAGCAGACGCACAGTTTGCGAGTTTGGAAGATGAAGACAATTTGTCGGTGTTTCTAGTGATTCTGAAGGAAGCACTCGAATCTGACTCGAATCATCATTAATCTGGTTGGTGGTTTCAAACATTTATTATTTTCCATCATATGAATGGGATGCCATCCTTCCCATTGACTTTCACTCCATCATTTTTCAGAGGGGTCGGCATACCAGGCTCAACCACCAAGCAGTAATCATCTCTAATCCCCAGATGATCAGATGGTGTTTCAACCAAAAATCTCCCCCTGAAGACAGTTCCCTGTCCAATCGTTCCTGAGTCCTGGCTCTCCCTGTTGCTGCCACACTGCCTGGCGAAGATCGATCGAGTCTCCTTTGGCATCATGACCACTGAGGACGAACGTGAACAAAACGTCCGTTTTAAACGGGGTTTCCACATCTTGAATTCTTTTTCTGCAGCTTTGAAATACAGAAATAATACTAAATAATTTTAAATCATACCAAAACCTACCATTTTTTTAAAATAGTAGTAAATAATACCAACATGTAGTACATAAGAGTAAATAGACCGGTTTCACCATTTTTTAAAAACCTAGAGGACCTAGACAGGTCTACTTGCAACCCAATAGTCAGACCGTAGGACCTTTCGATTACCTGCAACATGGTCATTTGTATCTCATTTTATATTACACATTACATAATTTACAAACATGACAACATAATATCATGGAATATACATATATATATATATAGATACAGATTCAAATTTCTATTCTTTAGATAGATAGATAGATAGATAGATAGATAGATAGATAGATTAGATTAGATTAGATTAGATTAGATTAGATTAGATTAGATAGATTAGATAGATTCGATAGATTAGATAGATTAGATAGATTAGATAGATTAGATAGATTAGATAGATTAGATAGATTAGATAGATTAGATAGATTAGATAGATTAGATTAGATGAGATTAGATTAGTTTAGATTAGATTAGGTTGAATAGATAGATCGATAGACAGATAGATAGATTGGATTGGATTGGATGGGATTAGATTCGATTAGATAGATAAGATTAGGTAGATTAGATAAGTTTAGATAGATAAGATTAGTTAATTAGATAGATAGATAGATAGATAGATGGATAAGATAGGTAAGATAAATAAGATAGATAGATAGATAGGTAGATAGATAGATAGAAAGATAGATAGATGGATAGATAGATTAGATAGATAGATAGATGGATGGATGGATGGATAGATAGATAGATAGATAGAAAGCTAGATAGACAGATAGACGGATAGACAGATAGACGGATAGACAGATAGACAGGTAGACAGATAGACAGATAGACAGATAGACACATAGACAGATAGACAGTTAGACAGATAGACAGATAGACAGATAGTCAGATCGACAGATAGACAGACAGATAGACAGATAGATAGCTAGGTAGATAGATTAGATAGATTAGATAGATTAGATAGATTAGATAGATTAGATAGATTAGATAGATTAGATAGATTAGATAGATTAGATAGATTAGATAGATTAGATAGATTAGATAGATTAGATAGATTAGATAGATTAGATAGATTAGATAGATTAGATAGATTAGATAGATTAGATAGATTAGATAGATTAGATAGATTAGATAGATTAGATAGATTAGATAGATTAGATAGATTAGATAGATTAGATAGATTAGATAGATTAGATAGATTAGATAGATTAGATAGATTAGATAGATTAGATAGATAGATAGATAGATAGATAGATAGATAGATAGATAGATAGACAGATCGATAGATAGATAAATAGATAGATAGACAGATAGATAGATAGAAAGATAGATAGATAGATAGTTAGATAGATAGATAGATAGATAGATTGAAAGATAGATATATAGATAGATAGATAAATAGATAGATATATAGATAGATAGACAGAAAAATAGATAGATAGATAGATAGATAGATAGACAGATAGTTAGATAGATAGATAAATATAAAGATAGATAGATAGATAGATAGATAGATCCTAGTAGTTAGATAGATAGATAGGTCGGTAGATAGATAGTTGGATGGATGGATCGATTGATAGATAGATAGATAGGTAGATATAGATAGATAGACAGACAGATAGATAGATAGATAGATTAGATTAGATTAGGTTGGATTTGATTGGATTAGATTAAATTAGGTTGCATAGATAGATGGATAGATGGATAGATGGATAGATGGATAGATCGATCGATAGATAGATAGATAGATCGATAGATAGATAGATAGACAGACAGATAGATAGATAGTTAGATCGATAGATAGATAGATGGATGGATAGATGGATAGATAGATAGATAGGTAGATAGATTGATAGATAGATCGATAGATAGATAGATAGATAGAAAAGATAGATAAGATAGATAGGATATATATATAGATAGATAAGATAAGATAAGACAAGATAAGATAAGATAAGAAAGATAGATAGAGATAGATAGATAGATAGATAGATAGATATAGATATAGATATAGATATAGATTAATATATATATATAGATATAGATATACAAATAGATATATAGACAGATAGATAAATAGAAATATTATATTAGATTTGATTGGGTTAGATGTGATTAGATTAGGTTGACTAGATAGATAGATAGATAGATGGATAAGATGGGTAAGATAGATTGATAGAGATAGATAGATATAGATAGAGATAAATCGAGAAAGATGGAGTTAGATAGAGATAGATAGAGATAGATATAACTAGATATAGGTAGATATAGATAGATATAGATAGATATAGGTAAATATAGATAGATATAGATAGATACAGATAGATATAGATAGATATAGATAGAAATAGATAGATAGATAGATATATATAGATAGATAGATAGATTGATAGATAGATAGATAGATAGATAGTTTGATAGATAGATAGAGATAGATAGAGATAAACAGAGATAAATGGAGTTAGATAGAGATATAGATAGATAGATATAGATAAATATAGATAGATATAGATAGATATAGATAGATATAGATCGATAGATAGATAGATAGATAGATAGATTGATTGATTGATTGATAGATAGATATATAGAGAGTTAGATAGATAGTTAGATAGATAGATAGAGATACATAGAGATAAATAGAGATAGATGGAGTTAGATAGAGATAGATATAGATAGATATAGATAGATATATATAGATATAGATAAATATAGATAGATATAGATAGATATAGATAGATATAGAGATAGATAGATAGATAGATAGATAGATAGATAGATAGATAGATAGATAGATAGATAGATAGATAGATAGATAGATAGATAGAGATATATAGATAGTTAGATAGATAGTGAGATAGATAGATAGAGATAGATAGAGATAAATAGAGATAGATGGAGTTAGATAGAGATAGATATAGATAAATAGAGATAGATGGAGTTAGATAGAGTTAGATATAGATAGATATAGATAGATATAGATAGATAGAGATAAATATAGATAGATATAGATAGATATAGATAGATATAGATAGATATAGATAGATATAGAGATAGATAGTTAGATAGATAGATAGAGATAGATAGAGATAAATAGAGATATATGGAGTTAGATATAGATAGATATAGATAGATATAGAGATAGATAGATAGATAGCTAGCTAGCTAGCTAGCTAGGTAGGTAGGTAGGTCACTAGACATATTGCAGTGAGTCGCACATGCCGTTGATAGGACCTGAGTCGAGCCTTGGAGGTAGATCCCAACATGCCGTTGTCCCGAGGCGGGTTTTTTTCGGCATCGTGGCTATTGAGCAGTGGCTAAACCCTGGTTACCCTCCGGTAAACATACAAAAAACTATGGAAAATCACCATTTTTAATGGGAAAATCCACTATAAATGGCCATTTTCAATAGCTATGTAAACGTTTATCAGAGGGTAAATTGGAGATACCTAAGATATATAAGGCCTATTTTTTAGGCCTATTTTTTGGGAATATCCCCATAAAATGAATCATGAAATATGGTCTCATATGGTACAGTACCTCCGTTTTAGGATCCTGAAATTCCCATTGACTGGTTGGTTGATGATTAGTTGGGGGATTATACGAGTGGGAGGGGGCTCACTTGAACTTTGGTCTCTGGATTTCTTCAACGCCTGGGTGGCAAACAATCAAACACATGGATTGCTTATTTTGCAGGTCTTGATTCTCGGTTTATTCTTCTGGTGCTGATTCAAGGGTGAAATTTTGGGAGTGAGATATTCTCTCATTTGGCTGCAGTTTCAACTCGGAAGTTCCGACGCTTATTCAAATCAGTTGCTGTCGCTTGCATGTTTGAATGGTTACAATGTGTTTTCCAGGATTTATTTTGATGGTTCAGCTTCAAGGCAGGTAAGGTGAAGCATCTCGACAGAACTTGCTGGCACATTCCGAATGGCTTCTGTTGAACGCACTGGTAACAGCGTGGAACCATCTATTTTCACTGGAGCACTGGCTTATTTCCAGTTGAGGTCCCCCTCTTACCTTACTATTACTTTGTGTAGCGTAGGCCTTCATATCCATGCTGATTCATGCCACTTAATTTGATCATGCTTCAGACAGCGGATTCGGTAGCCATTTCAATCTCAAGTTCAGGGAACAAACCAGCAGAAAAATGCAAGGCCAACCCAAGGTATTGAAAGGGTGGCGCCAGCGATGGGAGCTTCAGAGGTGGCAGCGCCTACTGCAGAGGTTGGAGAACCTATGGTGGGAGCTCTTGCGACAGAAGTTGGAGGAGCTGGGGAAGGAGGTTGAGGGCGAGGCGGAGGATAAAAAGGGGCGGCCCTGGAAAATCGAGGCTTAGCGGCGCTGCCGAACTATGAGCATCTGGGACGATGCGAGAAGAAAAAAACGAGTGGCGACAATCGTGACCGCGATAGGCCTCCTGGGGAACCCGCGGTATATAAATAGGTAACGCGCCGTCTGGTCTACCCACTAGTTTAATATAATTATCATCAATTATAGGGCATTATCAGCCAATATATTGGTTTATTAAACCATCATAAGCCATCTAATTATCAAGCTAATTATCCCAATATTAATTGGAAATTTTAATCATCCAAGACCGGGGGAAACAAGCCGGAATCAAGAGTTCAAAGAGCTTAACTCCAGATTCTATCCATTCGAACTACATCCATGTCTGTACCAGGTTTTAGGGGGCATAAACAATAGGGGAATACCTATTACTGTCAGCAACCATTATTGGGATATTAGACCATCTAAGTATTGATGTATCAGGAATCTGGGAAAAGCCACGAGTATTTTTTAACCATCTAGTTATTGGGGTTTTGGCAAACTGGAAAAAACAACTATTAACAATCTAATTCTTGGGGTACCCTAAATTTTGACCTATACCCATATGTTGGAATATTTTGGAATATGCTGGAATATGTTGAAATGTCTTGGAATCAATATGGGTTTTACATCGAGTTAAATTGTGTTTGGAATCGGAATAGCGATTAAAAAACATGTCTTTTTCCTCCAAATAGATTCTGTTTTGGTGTTCTCAATGACTTTCCATTTGTGTCTTCTTCGTGCTGCTACATGCTGCGTCCACCATCCACGCCTTGTCTTTGGTTGTCTCCCTTCTGATCTTCCTTCTGGATTTCCTTCTGGTCATCCTTTTTGTCTTGATTCTTGTCTCCCTTATTCTGCCTTGCTGTCAGCTGTTGTGTCCCCTTTCCATCCCTTTCCCCGCAAACTTGTCTTCACTTGAACTCCACTTGTCATATCTTGTCATTTTTCTGTCGCTTCTCGTCCTCCGAAAACCTGCGTAAAGTTGTCGGATGGCACCTTCACCTTTTGACGTCTTTCCAGCGGACACCCTTGAAGGTAGAGATTCGTGTGACAAGAGGTCAGAAGGGAGACACAGCGCAGGTCAATATCTAAAGGGCATATAGGAGCAATGGGCCACAATGGGCCACATTGGATAACATCTATAAAAACTTGGCATTCGGAATGTCACCAGGCTGAAAAAGTGTGTAAATGTCCGAGAAATTTCATCAGATGGCAGACATCTTGGGATTTTGGGAGGGACAGATTTTGGTTTCATCGCAGGCAAGCTGGCCATTCCCTTTGTGCCTCAGCAAACCTGAGTGGGGAATGAGTGGGGATAGGACTTGATGAGCAAATAAAACAGCAAACATGTTTCAAGAATCCTTCAGAAGTTCGATTTTTTTCTGCGCAATCGAATTGCTCAAAATCCTGCAATGGTAGAGGTGGTGCTAGTCATAGTCTGGTGCTAGTCATAGTCACATTAGTCAGCCTGTAAATTTCAAATCTGTCTTTTGGATCTAGCGTTCTTTCTCAATCAGCCCTTGCCTGAGATTGGGAAAGATGTGCCATCGCCGACCAACGAGCCGGGCACCTGGGATACCTGCGCACGTTCCCAAACTTCATCCACAGGTGACAGAACCACAGAAAATACAATTTGTAATATGCACGGATATCAAATTTTGCATGCGTTTCCCACACACATATTCGATTGCCCAACATATTCATTGGGTGCCACATTGCTTGAAAAGAAGTGCATTCCGTTTTAATAGGGATAATTTTCTTTAAACACCTTAAAGAAGGTCACTTTTCTTTAATCGATGGACTTTTCATTTCGAAGAGGTAGACAGTATGTGTTGGAAAGCAATGTACTTTTAAGGCACGCTTCAAATGTGCATGATTTCCTTCCAGTCAAGTACATAACATACCCACGTCAGAAAAGGCACTGTTGTATTCCTTGAAGGAAGCTGTGTTTTGCAAGATGTTCAATGAACAAGCAAAGGAGATCAATCAGATAGATGCAGCATTACTCCCAGCAGATATAGCTATACTATAATTCCTCGATTGTAGCATTATTTTGAAGAAGTAGTTCTAAGACACTTGCATCCAACAGATGCACCATTCCTTGAAAAAAATGGGTCCATTTCAATAGACAGCATTTCTTTAAAGAGCGTCACGTTTCTTTAAAAGTTATATAAACAGTGTTCATCTCAAATAGGTAGTATCAACTGGGCATTCTTTTAGTCAAAACAAATTCAATAAACACTGCTGCTTTGAAAAAGTTGTCGGGCGTTTGTGTCCATGTCATGCAAAACATGGGGTTGACAGAAACTATCCCCACGTCCTTCATACCTTCACTTCCAGGGTTCCAAATACACCACTGATGGTCCCCAGCAGAATCGATGGGATGGATGATCAACTGTTGCTTGCTGGATGACGCCACACAATCCATCATGCATTGCTCATCTTGCTCTCCGTGTCGGCTGTTGACATTCCCGACTTTTTAAAAGTCGGGTTATTTCATTGTAGGAACAACAACAAAATAAGATGTTGCAGCAAGCAAATATGTTGGTGGTTATGATCATATCTAATGGCAAAGGTTGGTCAAGAAAATAACCTATGATCCATTGTACCAATATGAATTGTGTTCATAGGTAGCTAACTTGATGTGGCTTCATCATATATTGGTTTTAGAAAATATATTATGATGCTGGCGTACCAACATTTTATTGATCTTATATGTTTTTATATGAAGTATCAGCTGTCACCATATATATATACATTTAAATATAGATATATGTCTATATAAGTGTATGTATATGATATAAGTATATGTATCCTGCACGGCTTCTACAAAAAAAGGATGAGCACAAACTCAGGTCAGAAAACAGAACTTTTTTTGAAGAAAACAATAGGTTGTAAATTGCACTTGCAACATACAAGGCATATTTCAAACACATGCAGCATTCCTTCACAGGAAATGATAGTCCATTCAAAATATTATATATATATAGATATACCGTCACTTTAAAAATGCATGTTTCTCTTGCACAAGTAAATCGTAGTAAATCTAGTTGACAAGAGCAATCTTTTTCAACGGGCACTTTCATTCAAAAGGGCGCAGCATTCCTTGAAAAGGGTGCATTCCTTTTCCATTGATGGCACACCTTTAAGGACTCTATGGAAAACACTTTATTGTTTAAACAAAAGCTATTCATACGAGTATGCGCATGTATGCATTTGCAAAGCCTGAATCCGTACTGACTTTAGAAAGCAGAATGTAGCGCAACCCGTACCAAATGTCCAGTATGGTTTTCACAAGTTCAGGATATTTTTCAAACAATTTTAGTAATGTATTACTGAGGTAACATGAACTATCATGTACAAACATGCAGAAAGATTGTAAAGGGTTGAGTTTTCCCTTAACAAGAGGCATAAAGGGGTTTATGGATATTGGATGATATTGGGGAGACTATTGTAAAACAACCATGAAACACAAGATGGACTTAGTATCAGGGTTCAAGATTAGATTCAAGATTAGACAAGACACTGAACCTCGCCTAGGGGTCCTAGGGGCTTGGATTCAACAGGAATTTTGCCAACGGCTCCGGAAAAATGCAAGCACCGCAAGTGGCCAAAACCTCGAGAACACCACGAAAAAAAAACCAGTCAATGGGGGGTCCAGTCATACTCGTTGGGACTTTGGGTTCGAATATTTCTTTTCCGTTTTTCTGAAGTTTGTATGCTTTGCTTTGTTTTGAACATACTTTTTTTTTGTATTTTATATAGTGCAGAGACCTTGCACTCTGGTGGTCCCCTTGTTCCGGGAACATGAAACATGTGGACAGAAATTTGTTCCAAGAAGCAGTGAAGAAAAGTGCAAGTCGTTGGAAGCAAAACTGAAGTCCATGGAAGCCAGCCCTTGCATCCCCAGGTTCGCGCATCCGGACATCGTTATCGGTTTGACGATTTTGGGCTATCGTTATGAACAGCTCCGGCTGACTGACATCGATGAGGCTGTGGGAATGGTTCGATGAAGACGAAGATCATTTGTGACCAGGTCTTTTGCTGACACGAGATATCAGGATATGCGCGGGATATACCCTCTGGTAATTTGTTACATAGCTATTGAAAATTGCCATAGAAATAGTTGATTTACCCATCAAAAATTGAAATTTTCCATAGTTATGTAAACGTTTACCAGAGGCTAATGGTGATTTTTTGTGCCTCATTGTTTCTTTTTTGTGGCCATGTCGTGCGAAAAATAACGTGAGTCCTGGAGGTTATGGTGAGACTCTTGAACGATGTACGAAAAGAACCAGGTCGACCGCAGGACCCCTCGGGAGCACTGGGCTTGTTGGTTGATGAGTTTCATTGGTGGGGTGATATCCACTATAAATGGAAAATAACTATGGAAAATCACCATTTTTAATGGGAAAATCCACTATAAATGGTCTATATTCTCATCGCAAGAGAGTACCCGGCCTGGTTATGTCAACAGTTTGCTATTGAAAACGACCCAGTCGAAATAGTGTTTTTTCCCATAAACAATGGTGATTTTCCACAGCTATGTTAAATTACCAGAGGGTAATTTGGAGTGGTTGATAGGAGGAATTATATTCACAAATTATAATCATCATCGTAATGAGTTTGATTGGTGGAGTCATATTCTTCATCGGAGTTATATTCAGAAAGTGGGAATTTGATCGGAAAAAACAATGAATTTGTACATATCTTCCCACTTCAAGATGGGAGATTCCCATCAATGGGTTATATCCATGAAGTGAGAATCTCCCATTTTTGATGGGATTTGATGGGTTATCTCCCATTCATGGGTTATATCCAGCAAGATCTCCCATTTTTGATGGGACTTGAAGCATTTCAAAGCTAGTGGATTCTGCAGCACTGCATGAGACTGACGGCTGTTGTCTCATTTTTTCTTTCAGGACCGGCCATCCGCAGTGTTGTATCGTGGCTGGGTCACAGATGCTGGTGGTTTTCTTTGCGTTCGGTCCTCCCAGCTGCCAACTCTGGGGTGCATTGAAAGAGATGATCAGATGTTGCAAAGAACCTGTGAGGTCAAAAGTTGCTTCAACTTCTCAAAGAGCATTTATGCTAGCTTGTCAGCTTGTTCAACTTCTATATCTATATATATATATCTATATATATATATACATATGAATATTGATTATCTTCTAGCTGGAGTTTCCGTGCCTGACACAGTTTTCCACAGTTGTTCATGGCCTTTTTCTGAGGACCCCTCCGTGCCTGATGAGGACAAGGAGAAGCCCAAAAAAGGAGGAACCTTTGCTGATGGAATTCAGACGCGAATCGTTATGGAAAAATCTCATTGATCGTTATGGTTCATTATTGACAGGTCATTATCAGGAACCTTGCAACCAAAGTCTTATTGATCATCAATTATTGATGATAATCATTCATTATTGTTGATTATCTATTGATCATTATTGATCATGATTGATCATTAATGTGTATCTTGAGATTATCTATTGATCATCAGTTATAATTATCTATGATCTTCTATTATCTATTGATCATCTGTTATATTTGATCATCATTATTGTTGATTATCTATGATAATTAATGATTGATCTCCAGAATTGGACACTTCCCATATCTTCCCAAAAATTGCCCAGTGTCTCTTGTCCAGGGGTTCCGCCCTTGGCCTTGGTGCAACGCTCCAACGAGCAGCAGATGAAGGACAGCCAGCACGGCCGCTCCAGGTTGAATTTCATGGGGGTATAGCCCCAAAATGCATCAAAATGCCAGTTTGATAGTTGAAATTTGGTATTATAATCATATATATATAACCATCATAAAACCACTATTATTGGTATTATAACCACTATTATTCACCGTTTTGATGAATTTTCATTGAAATTTCATGGAGATATGGATGATTCACCAATGGATTTAGTAGTTGTTCATGCTGTTCCAACCGGGTGCACTGAGAGGTAATTGTGCCGGCATTGTGTCGTGGCAACCAATGCATTTGAGGAAAAGTGCAGAAAGTAAGATAATTATAAGTAGAAAATACTCGAATAACCCCTATGCCGTGTATGCATGTTCATACCACATAGTGGTCCCAAAACGGAGCCCACTATATTGTTGTTGCCTTTGACTGTAAAGTGTACATAATGTCAGGGTTTTTACAACGGGAATAGACTATTCAAATAGTTATCGACAATGATAACTCATTTCCTTAATCCTGTAATCCGGGGTTTTGGTCATCAAACCATTTACTTGGCCAACAACGTTTGGCTCAAGGTGCCCGCTAAAACAGGTGTCGTTGCTTAGTGTCACTGGCCATTGTTACATCTGTTGACTACTGCATCTTGAATACACGTGAATATTACTTCTGGTACAATCCCCGCATTCACTGGATTTACTGGAATTTTGTGGTTATCAGCCGTAGCCCGGCTTATTTCTGCAGTTGTGAGATCAATTGGGAGCTATTGAAAGACTGAACATATCGGCAAGAAATCTAAGACTTCAATTGCATAGATCACTGAATTGTTCTTTCATTGGCACCTTCAATCTTTCACTCGCGCTTGCGCGACAATTTTCCCATCCTTCGCCGCCATTGGCGCGACTGCATGTCTGATCATAGACGTGACCGTTCCCGATCAAGAGTTCGAACTCGTGGCAGACGAGGGGGCAACCCGTGGAGGTCCAGCCAATTGAGCAGGTACAACCGCGGTGTGTCTTCAGCCATCGATTTTGCTACAGCAGAGGAACTTGGTCGGGCACCTCCGGAGCCACCTCAGCCACCACCACCGGCACCGGGTGCTAGGGGTGAGTGGAGGTGGGTTTGGGTCCCAGAGCAGGCTGACGTGAGGGACAGGCCTGCTGGTGATCCTGAGCCAACTTCGGCGTCTCGTCCTCGGTTGACATCTTCTTCAGTGGCACCAGTGCCAAGGCGTTCTGATCGATCTTCGGCGGAAACTCCGACAGGGGTGGAAGGCAGGAGCTCACGGGACTCGGCTGGTGTTGTGGAGGGACGTTCATCCAATCGGGCAGCAACATCACCTCGCGCAGAGCGCGAAAGGGAAGTTCCATCTCATCCAGCAACATCACCTCGCGCAGCGCGCGAAAGCGGCGATCCATCTCGATTGGTGACAACATCAACTCGCGCAGTGCGCGAAGGTGGAGATCGACCTCGACCGGCGGAAGCATCAGCTCGCGCTGTGCGCGAAGATCGAACTCGGCCGGCGGAGACATCAGCTCGCGCTGAGCGCGAAAGAGAGGTGAGGACATCTGGAACAGCTCGCGCAGAGCGCGATACAGCCTCAGCATCGACTCCAGTGACCACAAGGAGGACCATTCGAGTTCCGGCCAGGACATCATCGACGGCAGGGACCAGTGAAGTTTCTCGCATCGGGTCAAGGGGATCGTTGAGGCCTGCGGAGCCTAAGGCTGCTCCAAAGGCAACAGTGGTGGCCAAGGCAAAGGCCGAACCTCGTTCATCTCCAGATTCATCGGTGGCATCTACTCGCCCAGGAACTTCGGTTGAGCGACCGCTCATAGTTCTTGATTGGCATCGGACGCTGTCCTTTGAGTCTCAGAGTGGTGGATCCTACGTGCCCGAGAGGGTGAAGCAGACGCTTCGACGAGCTCAGTCATTGGGCTACGATCTTGGCATTTGCTCCTTCGCATCGGCGCCAGCCACTCAGTCCAGGGTGCTTCGTGAGGCACGTGATCTTGAGACTGAGTTGACACGAGCTTTCAGGTTCATCCACGTGGTCAACCGGAAGTTCACTTCGGATCCTGCCCGTGACAGGCCATCGCTCACGGGCTGTGCCACATCTAAGGCAGAAGAAGTCTGCCGTGTGGGGGCGGCCATTTTTGTGGACGACCAGCGCTCCCTCCTGCAGGAGGTGGAGCAACTTCAGGCTCGTCGAGCCGCTGGCAACAGGTGTCGGGTGTTGATCTCGCACGCCAATCGGCCATCGGCAGCTCTTGAGGAGCTCGACGATCTACTGGAGGAGGAGTCGGCTGCAGATTTCGGGTTGCCCAGCTTCTTGCGAAGCCTCTGGTGAAGGAGTGCAGGACATCTTGAGGAGTTGTTCATTGACTCATTTCTCAGCGGCGCAAGCGCAAGAGCAAGAGCAAGAGCAAGAACGAGGTTTCACTGCAATTGTTGCCAAGGAGTTTCACCGCAATTTTTGCTTGTTTCAAGTTTCACTGCAACATAGTTTCACCGCAACAGGTTGTTTCACTGCAAGCTTGGTGTTCGGCATTTTGCCCTCCTTCTCGCGCTTGCGCGATTTGTTGGAGAAGTTTGCACTGCCAGTTTTGCTCGCTGCCATCTGGCGCAATTTTGCATAGCTGATTGGCATTGACAAGTTCCCTGAATTTGAGTTCCCGTGCCAAAACATGAAGAGGGAGGTGCCGGCGACCCCATTCAAAGTGGACGGACCCAACAGTACATGGACTTCATCGACTGACTCCCCAGAGAAACTTGCAGAACAGCAATCTCAGCAAGCTGCAATGATGCACATTAGTGACCAACCTGCCAACCCGACTCAGGAGGCGATATCTTTGGCGAACAGGCTGAAGAGAGGACAGGGGTCAGCTGCGGCATCTGGTGGTTCAGCTCAATGGGGTGGAAGTTCAGCTTCGGGTCAACACGGTGTTCCCCCTAGTCTTCATCAGCACAATACCATCCAACAACATATGTATCAACAACAGGTCAACCAGATAGACCCCACACAGTTGGAACAATTGTTGGAATCACTGGTAAACGCAAAGGCAGAGGCAAACTATCAGCAACTCCGACAGCAAGCGCAACAAGAAGTTGAAAGCATCAGGCAACAGGCAGGAAACAATCACCAAATGTTGCAAGATCAGGTGTACCAAAAGTTGCAACAACTCAACCAAGAGAAACAGATGCTTGAGATGAGAGAGAGACAAACTCATCAACAGGCACAACAACGTTTTGAACAACTTCAACAAGAAGCCGTCAACCAGATTAAGAAGTTGTCCGAAGACAACATGAGGCTACAGGCAGAACTTGAGGATAGCCGCAAGTCGGCTGAGGGCCAAGTGAACTTCGTGAAGTTGCAGGCCGAATCTGAAAGACAGAGGGCTGTGGCGGAGCTCAAGGAACTTAGCTCCAAATTGGAGGTGATCATGACCCATCCTGAACGGGTAGGATCGACATCTGGGACGATGATGTCACCTATTGGGAATCCTTTTGAACATCTACCCCAAGCTTACCAATCAGCCCAGCCAACTGAAATCATGTCAGCAGGTGCTAGTATTGCTAGTGCCAATCCTCTGGAAGTGATGTACTGTACATGTTGTGGATCACAGAATGTCATTGGACGACCGTCATGTTGGAGATGTTCAACATTACTGAGCACATTGACAGCCAAGAATGGCGCGGATTTGAATAGAATTCAGGATCATGGTTTTGACCCAGCACCATGTCCGCCTCCAAGTTTGGCACCATCCAGCTTCCGAGCATTGCAAGGTGTGGCAGCTAGCAGCGCGTCTATCGCAGCTGCGGCCGCGGCACCTATGGCGATCTCAGCGAGGTTTCCTGGAGGATGCGCGTCAAATGTCGCGCAGAGTGGGAACTTAGCTTCAGGGGGGCTGATGGCTCAGACTGGTTGTGGTCTTGGGGTTGGATCAAATGGTGGTACAACAAATCAATGGGGTGGTTTTGACCCGAATGGCCCCAGAATCCAAGCCGGGTACATTGTACCAGGTAGAGGACAACAAGGTGAGAAACCGAAACCTGCTGGACTTCAGGGCTCACAACATGGTGGGATTCCATCCTTTTCCATTCACACACCCAAGAACAGTTCACCAACAAATGGTTCGTCATCATCATCGAAGGACTCAAATGAGGATGGTTTTAATCAGGCTCCCAAAGATGGTTGGTTGTTGCCAGATGAAACTGATGAAAGTGTTTACAAGCACAAGCACCTCAAGTCCATTCAGATTACCAAGCTTCCCAACGACGCGACTTCGTGTCGCGAGTGGCGTGCGGCATTCTTGGCCGCAGTTAGCAGGGTTGACATGACGAACCGGGATGTGCTAGTGAAGTTTGCCACATGGTGCATGGAAGGTGGTCGAGGTAGACGGTTCCGAGATTATCTTCAGAGTTCGAATGACTTTTTGTTATTCAATAAACATGTGGCGGCCGAGCTGATTAAACCAGAGGTGTTGGCCACAAACTCAGAGCTAGCGCACGAACTCACGTCGTGGGTGGAATCATGTTCAGCGAAACAGCAGGGACCCAAAGGCATGGCTCTCATGCACATCATTATTGCCTTTTACGAAACAGGTCCGGACCAATCCATCGCTTTGAACCAAATGCATCTCTTACAGCTCCAATTGCAGGGAAAGATTGCGAAGGATCTTGCAGAGTTTGTGAAACGTGGCAATTACATCTTGCATGGCTTGCGCCCAGGAGACCGCCCTGCAGAGGCGACACTCTACAGCTGGCTTTGGCATCAGGTGAAAGCCGTTCCGATGCTGAGGAGGTGCACTGACAAAATCAGAGAGTCCTCAAATGGATCCCGTAGGAGAACCTTTGGATGGTTATGGGGAAAGATTGCCGAAGAACTCCGTGAGAGGAGACATGACCTTAACTATGAAAACATGGGTCAGGGGTTGAAGTCATCCCCACCAGCTCAACTGGCTTTGCCGGCATCGTCCTCAACAGGTGAGACGAAGGTTGCTAAGGTCAC